GGCCCTCTAAACTTCCTGTGCCAACCAGCCAGGCTGGGTTTGCATTGGCCTTACCAGCACTATCAGCTTCTCCCTCAGGCCCTTGATGTCATCTTTGAGCTTCTGCTCCTTCAGCCTCCACTCTGCTTTGTGCACCTCTCGGCTCAGGTCTCTCTCCGGCCCCGGTGAATGACGATTGGCTTCCAGTAATAAAGCCCGCAACTCATTCAAGCTCCTGGAAGAAACAGAGGCTAACATTTTTTCAGCTGCCCATCGAGCATGGTGGGGGAAAGCAGCCTTAGATCTCTTAACTACTTCTCTCAGCTTTGCCTGAAGAGGCAACATGAGGTGCCCCCAGGAGAAACAAATGGCATGCTGCCTACGGCTTCGTCCAGGGTGCGTATTTGCACATGCAAGTGCCCTCCAAAAGGACCATAACGCTACAGCCCCTGCAATTACTTCCTGAAAGACTGACCTTTCTTTTTTGAGTAGCTCCTGGCTAATCAGGACCAACTGTCCTGAAGCGTCATGGGTTTTCCTGGACAAGGTATCCAGGTCAGTTTCCAACCTTTTCTTCTCCTTCAACAATGAATCTGTCTTCTTCTCTGCAGATTTGCTTTTATTTTCCAGTGCTGCAAAAGAACATGGGAAAATTGTCAACCGGTCTGTGCTTGGACACCTTTTCTGGTGGCTTCCTCTTTCAGTGCCCATTCCTCCAAGCCTGTCACTGGTCAGCCATCTGCCTACTGCCACCAGAGTCCACGAGTTACAAGGACTTGGCAATATCCAGCATATGACCTGTTTAAGCAGAGATTCCAAGAATGATAAACCCAGCTGCATTTATTTATTGGTTTCTCAAGTTTGTTAAGATCCTGCGGCCAGACTATCTTCCCCTGACATATGAATTACTTCAATGGAATTTACCGAGTCCTTCTGGAGGAGTGTTGAGAACAATCCACTGCTACAGGATAATTGCACATTTTATGCGCACGTACATTGCAACATTGCTTTAGCCTATGAGCCCAGATTCTCCTTGTAAAGACCTAGGTACACAAGACCATAGAGATCCCACTAGCGCTGGATTAGGGAAACTTACCACTTACTTGGGCCCTTAGAGTTTCAGTCTGGGAGACCAGTGATGACACCTCTTTGTCTCTCTTACTCAGTTTGTCTTGCAGATCTTTAGATAAATAGAAAGTGGGGAGGGGAGAGGGAGACAGAGATTACACCCTTGGAAATGGCTTTGCCCAGTCATACATATAAATGAAGGCAAAGTGTTGCATGGAGGGCTCCCTAGCCGAGACTTGCACCAAGCGCAAACATGTACATGTCCATTGCTGAGAACAGCTCTTCTCTAAGTTGTTCAGATCTGGGTCTACAGCTTGGTTCATTGCAGAGAGAAACCACCATGCAATCCATCCTCAACTACCACCTTATCCATGATTTAGCTGCACCCAGTTTTGGGGTTTCGTTGCAGGCTCTTGCCTGATTTGCAGAAAGATAAAGGGCACATACCAAATTATTCTAGCCAACTGCACTGTTTCTACCAAACCACAGGGCTGGCTTATATTACTAGTCTACAGTGGGGGAGAGAAAGCATAATGCAAGTACTCCACTGTCCTTGCTCAGACAGGTGTGCTTGAAGTGCAAAAGCCAGAAAACCATTGTGATCTACAAGATGCATACGGGTGGCTCCCCAAGCCCTCTTCAGGGAGATGTTTCTGCTAGAGCAAAAAAGCAAAAAAGACAGGCGGAAGGTACACAATCACTTGAAACAAAGTACTTCAACAGAACTAGGACAATTCAATTCATTACCTTCCATGGTCTGCTTCATTTTTATCTTTTCTTCTGAAATATCATTTGTTTCAATCATCTGAAAAATGCAAAACATCCATATATAGAATAACTGCTGCTCTGTGCTATTATTCTCCCACAGCATCAAAGAAAGCCAGTGACCCTGAATTGAAAACACTAACCAAAGAACAGGAACACAACTTGCAGGGTCCTTAGTGTCTAATGAGACAGATTTACACCCTTCTTAGAAAGAAATCAAATGTGTATTTTCTCAAAGAGACATGCAGGCAGCTAAGTACTGAGCTGGGTCCAATGGCTACTAACTGAAGGGAAGGCCCAGTTTCCACAAGAAGGACCAATTTCCACTCATATGACAGTGCCTGAACTTTGCTGTTTCTAGCTGGGGGGAGGAGGAGGAAATCAGCAGGCTTGAGGTCTACCCACAAAGTTTACGTGGAAATTTTACACACCCAAAGACTAGGAGAGTAGGGTGGGAAAGACCCGATTTGGGGCTGATTTGCATCAGGCTCTAATGATAAATCATGGCAAGATCCTTTGGTGGGATGAGTATTATTGGATGCACTGGCTTCTGAGCACTCAGTCTGAGAGGTCTGAAAGGAACACAACTCTCAGCAAAATGAGGCTCCAGCTACTTCAGAAATCCAAGCCTTTTTAAAGGGCTTTAAGGAGCCCAAAACTGAAACTCACTTAAGGAAATGCTGGCCTAAGAGCATCTTCTGTGCCTTTCCTTTTGGGTATGTCCATACTGCAGTTACAGGCAACAAGTTGGGCTAGTTTACTCCTCTGAAAAACTAACATGGGTATCTCTATCTATTATATTGCAATTGCTACTGTGACTGCACAATAGACACGCGCTCTGCAGATATACAGAGCTGTGCTGGGATTTACAGCAGCGATTCAGTGCATGCTACCAGTAGCGCTCCTAGTTCCCATTCAGAAAAATAAGTATGCACATAAGCGAACTGCAACCTTAAGGATTTTTCCTTCACGTTGACTTCAGAAGAACTTTTGCAAATACTTAAAGCCCAGCAAAGTCGCATCTACTCAACAAAACAGGGAAGCATGTCTTTAAGGGCTGCGTGTGAATGGTAGCCAAATTAATAATCACCGAGTTCAGTGGAAGCTGCAGCACACCCTGAGGTTATAGTACTTGTATCAGGCATGACTCCAGGAGAGGAATTGTTTGTTAGTTAGCAACAAACCTGAAGCTCCTTCTTGGAAGGCATGGAAAAGCTGGAATCTATATGCTCAGCATCTGTATTTGTTTCCTTCCTATTTGTTATTTCCAGACGCATCAAACCCAATTCGTTACAAGCTGCGTAGGGCAGGTTAACACAGAAGCCAGCTGATTTGTAAGGCTGTGCAAAGCTCGGTTGCCAATTCCATCTGGAGGGGATTCGGCCCGATTCAGCGGCCCAATCTCCAAATCCGAATTGAATCGGGAGACCAATTAAAAGGTCTCAATCGAATCAGAAGCCCCCCCGAATCGATTCAGAAATGATTCAGCGGCGATTCGGAGATTCGGCCATAGACTAAATAGGCAGCAGTCCTCACCATGCTGGACACAGCTGCCTCCAGCTGGTGAGTGTGTTGTGGTGGGAGGAGGGAAGGGGCATGGACAGATCAACATCCCCACAGCATGGGATGGATTGGGGCTGGGACAAGCTGCCCAGCTGGCCTGGGGGAGCATGGGACTTGGGGACTCCTGCCACCACGCGGCGCCGGTCTAGGAGGGCGTGGGAGTGGGAGTGTGCTCCCAGATCTGCACAGGGTGGGCTGGCCCAGGGTGTGGAAGGTGCTGGCAGTCTGGCCCAGCCCGCCCTGCACAGATCCAGGGACATACACCCACTCCCATGCCCTCCCGGACCAGTGGTGGGAGCCCCCCTCCCCGAGTCCCGCACCCCCCCACCCCTGCTGGGCAGCTTGTCCCAGCCCTAATCCCTCCTTTGCTGTAGGGGACACTGATCTGCCCCCCCCCCCCCCCCCCCCC